TGATGATGAAAGTAAACAGAGCACCTCTAGGGCTATCAGAAAGGTACGCTGCGAATACTTCTCCTATTCTTTCAACAAGAAACAATTGTTATGTCGAGAGGATCGCCTGGAACGTCATCTTGCCACATGGTGATCATGGGTTGGGCCTGTGATTCATCTACCGAGGAAATTGGTCATGCTCACTGACCATGGGCTGGCTATACAAATCAGTCCCTTCTATTCCTAATTGGTCTTACAGGAATGACTATACAAAAGTCAAAAACTGTGATAATTGGAAGCAATGAATAAGATCTTACCTCAACCTGCTTGTCAGCTACAGAAAAATGCAGAGACAGTAGTATTGCCATCAGCATCCCCGACGTTTACAAACTTATCGGGGTTACTCATTAAATCCAGCAGCTGCTCCAACACATTCGAGCACCCATGCTTGACACAGAGGTGCAGAATGGTCTCACCACGACCCACAAGTTGAAGAACCGCTCCAGGTTTCTCCATAACCAGCTCTTTAATGGCATCCACTTGGCCTACAATTGCTGCTAGATGGAGAGGAATCATTCCATCTGTATCGCGAGCAAGGCAGAGGCGAAGGCCAGTATCTTGATCCAGCAAAGCTTTCACGATTCAAGGTGCCCTCTTGTTGCTGCCAAGTGAAGCGGAGTATGTCCTCGTGGGTCTTTGAGGTGAGCAAGTTCAGGCTTGCGGCTCAAGAGAAGTTTAACAAAATCAACGTGACCGAGGGTTGCTGCTATGTGCAAAGGAGACTCTCTAATGCAACCCACAACCACTCTTATCAAGAATTAGATTGTCTTTTTCAAGCAAATCGGACAAGGACTCCGCATTCCCTTGCAATGCTGCTTCACGAAGCTCTCTCCATTTTCATGCTTTCAGGAAGCCCTTCCTCCATTCTCTTGTTCTTGCTCTTGCTCTCAAGAAGCTGCGTGGATCTCCCCATTAATATTCAATTGCTCTCTGTTGTTCTTGCTCTTTCCTCTTCATTTGGGATGACCGGCAATGAACTAGTTTGTCTTGTTTCAGTTGCAGAAAAGAAAACAGAGCAGTAGTGTCTATACTCGATTGAGTTGAGGATGAAAGCGGAAGTACAAGCAAGAAAAATAAGGGGATGTCTACCTTTTCTAACCTGTTCAAAACAAGTTGTTTACAAGATTGATGCAGATTCAACATGAATTGGAGCTGGGATTTTCATACATCTTGAATAAGAGATTGACTTATATTTGAAGGGTTTTGAGAGTTTCAAAGGGCATCTGAGATGGGAACGTACAATAACAGTCATTAACTATTTGCATAAGTTAGGATTCTAAAGCATGTTTAGAGACAGGTGGCATTGTTTTATTGGGTTAGTAGAGAGAATTGTAGAATTGAATTAGTAGGAAATCTGGATTCGAAAAGATATCTAACAGAAGGACAATAACAGTCGTTAATTATTTGCACAGGTTAGGATTCTAAAGCATGTTTAGAGACAGGTGGCATTGTTTTACTGGGTTAGTAGAAAGGATTGCAGATTTGAGTTAGTAGGAAATCCGGATTCCAGATGTCTCTCTCTGTTTGGAACAGAAAAACAGGGGCGCAACAATTTTCGGTGTGTATCTCTCAAGATATTAATGCTATTCCTTATTCTATTCATTTCGTAGGTAGTTTTGGTTCTGTTTCTCTTTCTTTGGGACGAAAAACCAGAGTTGGAATAGACCACCACGTTGCAATGGCAGAAGAGGTGATGTTGGTTCCTTATTATCTTAGTTTTCTCTGGTTTTTTATTCTGTATCTCTCACCTTTTAGTGCTCTCTATGATCTATACGTATTGCAGGTGATTTTGGTTCTTCTAAACCCGCTTACGTTGCAATTCACTCTTCTCATCCAGTAGCAAGGAAAAAACCTTCCTGAGTATGTTTTTTAGCATACTTTAGACTTTTTTTTATGTAAATAATATCGAACCATGTGTTTCATTAGATTTGGCAGCCATTTAAGAGTGAAAGGGAACCATTTTTCGCTATTGTGATCAACTTATCCAGCAACCATTGTAGCTTTTAAATGGGTGAAGAAGACAATATATTTTACCGTCTTTTGGGGTCCCGTTCCAAATCCGAAACTGGATCCAATTATGCTAGGTAGTGGTTGGTCTACTCAGCAGTTTGGTCCGTTTATCTACTCACTTCTTGGAATGCAACTTGGGTGGATTGGGCCAAGTTGAGGATCAACACAAGCGCAACTCAAACCTCAGGCTTAAGCCTGAGTTTATCAACTGAGGCCCAAGGCGAGCTTAACTCAACATTTTGGGATAGCTTTGGGCTTATGTGTTGAGCTTTGTGGCCTAATTTTCAAATAGAATAAATTAATAATCTGTTGATTGAATAAATTAATAATATGTTGATGGAATAAAGGGATAAATGGACTTCAATCCACTTCAGAAATCTGAATTGCAGCCTCCTCCTAGTCTATTAGTAGCCCCTCTATAAATGCATCCTGCCCACGAATTTGGCATCAATCCGCGTATAGGATTCAGTCTACCCTTAGAAATCTTAACTCCACCCTAAGGGTGGATTGAACTGTAAAACAGTTGGCTCTTGAACCAATGATAAGACTTCACGTCAGAGATAATAATACATGGGGTCCACACTGAAAGATTGAATGATTATGGGCCCCATGTATTTTATGACTGATATGAAGTCTTATCATTTGTTCCACAGCTTGATGAACAGCTAAAGTGTTCAAGGAATCTCAACCCATGTTGATATGTATACCATAAACTGTTTGGGATTAGATTGGGTCAAATCAAGCTTGGGCTACACTCTTGAACCAAGTCCAACCTAAGTTAGGTTATGCCTGAGTTTCTTTCTCCATGCCTAGCTTGATGTATGAGAATAGAAATGGCAATTTGACACATCCCCTTGGGGCCCCACCCCAGTTAGGGTGTGTTTAGGGAAACCCAAAACTCTAGCGATCAGGGACGGGTTGAGTCAGGTTTGGGAAGTTAGGTTAGGCTTGTGACTTTTGGTCCAAGCCCAGCTTGATGTATGAGAATAGATATGGCAATTTAGCCGTTCCCCTTGGGGGCCCTCCCCAATCAGGGTGAGTTTGGGGAAACCCCAAAACTCTAGGGATCGTGGATGAGATGAGGATAGTATTTGTCCACCAATATATATATATTATAACTGTTAATATTATATATTATATTATGCTACATTGTATTATACAATATTAAATAGGTCTAGATAGGTTTCAAAAAATAAAAAGATAAATTTGTAAATATGCAAGTAAAAAGGGAAAATTCATGATTAGTACCCGAACTTTCAAAACATGACAATCTAGTACCTGCTGTTAACTAGTTGTTAACCAGTTGTTAAGTGGCACTTAAAAATATACAAATGCCCTTCGAGTGTCATCTAATTTTCTTTATCAACCATCCAAAAATTGATAAAAAAAATTAATAGTCTCAAATCCTTACCTCTTCTATTCAAGAATGTTGGTGTCACCAAAATGCCCACTCAAACTTGACCCCCAATTTTTTTGAATGGAAAAGGCAAGAATTTGGGACTACTAATTTTTTGTCAACGTTTTAGATGGTTGATAAAGAAAATTAAATAACACTTGAAGGGCATTTGCGTCTTTTTCAAATGCCACTTAATGGCTAGTTAACAACTACTTAACGGCAGATACTGGATTATCATGTTTTACAAGTTTAGGTATTGAATTATCGCATTTTAAAGTTTAGAGACCAAAATGGCACTAAGCCCAAATTACAGGATACTAATTTGGAATTTTCCCAAATAAAAACGATTGGAGCAAGGGATTTAATTTCGGGGTCGGGGGGAACAGGGTAGGAAAAACCCAACCCCGCCCCACCCGTTGCCTTCCTATAGAACTCAAAAGCCTAACCTGCGCAAAAGTTTGGTTGAGCCGAGTTGGGCTCGGGTTGGGCCCACAGAAATTGTACCCCTAAATATTTTTTGCCTCATTACTTTAACAAAGCCAAATCAAAGAACTGTATATTAAGCGATAAGGACACTGCCAAAGGGTAACGGTCAATCTTCTCCACCAAAGTCACGTAGCAAACATGGTGGGATTTCTATAAGTAATCTACTGGATAAGACTTACCCGAACTAAGCTATTTCATTTCAATAAGTTCTCTAACTGATACACTCTTATTTTTGGTTTCTAGGGGAACTGGATTCCCAAAAGAAATCGAAGAACAAACGAGAAGGACCATTTCATCAAGGGGTCGAACTCGTTTATATATAGTTTGTTTTTGTTTTGGAGTTGGCTAGCTCCAGTCGCGTCGTAGTTGTTGTGGTTGTTGCATTTTCTTCTTGAGAAGACAGTGAAAGATTAATTAGGGGTACGTACTAAGAGTAGGGATGGGTATTTCTTCATATTTGTTTGTGTTTTGGTTAGAAACGAATATTGCTACAGTAGTGGTTGTTTGTTACCTTTGTTCACGTTAAATTTCCCTAGTGAGAGTGAGAGTTGCGATTTGGCCTCTACATTTCAGATACAACTTATCAGTATTGAGGAAGGAGATGAGTCGATCAGCATAAAGAAGGAAACTCCAATATTGGAAATCTCCAACTCCAAAGAGGAAGTTCTCTAAGTTAATTTGAGAAGCAATTCCTAGTTTAGGAAACATTGTGAATAGGCAATTGCCATATTATTCTCTTTCCTTTTTTATTTATTTCTGTTCTCATTATTTTATTCTTTTGTGTATAAATTGATATGGATCGACAACTCAACAAAATACAATTATTTTCTTTCTCATTCATTCTTCTAGTACACTTTGTTCTCTATCAGAAACATTCAATTATCTCACTTTGTATTCTTAATTTGAGATATCAGATTACACCTTGGTTAATTTTGTTATTCTCTGTTTGATTGCTGAACAAATTAATGATGTTGGGTATTGTGATCTTACCTCACCAACCTCCTTTTTCTAGGAAAATCTTCAAGAACAAATCAAGTAGTGGCATTGCATTCACCAGATCATAAACAAGATGCATGGCCATCTACCGCAGGAAAAGAAAGAGATCAGACATTTTATGAATGGTGATTGGGAAAACCTCCCTGAGGGTCTCCTTGACGCAATTGCACAGCGGTTACCTCTGACGGATTGCTTAGCCTTCCATGATGTCTGTACATCCTGGAGAAGAGTTGTTGCAAAGCTCTCCGGTTTCCATGCACGAAGGTTTCCATGGTTGGTTCAGTGCAGAGAAGACTGCACCGACTTCATCATAACTTGCTTTAGTGTACTAGAGAACAAACTGTGGGAGCTGGAGTTGCCTGAGGCTCCTTTCAAATACATCGTGGGATCATTCCAGGATTGGTTGATACTGAAAAAGGTAACTTTCTCCAGTACAGAGTTTTTTCTCCTGAACCCCTTCTCCAGAGCTATAGTCGTTCTTCCCAAGGTATCAGACAACCTTTTCTACGAGCTGGTGCTCTCAACAGTTCCCACCGATGCAAACTGTGTCTGCATGCTCATAAGTCCATACTGTAATGGGGTGATCTTGTATTGGGTTCCAGGAACAGAAAGGTGGATTCCAGATTGTAGTAGATTGACAGGAGGAAAGGTCATTGTGGATTTTGTGTGTTGTAAAGGAAATTTCTTTCTATTGGACAGTGACTATGATATAGTGGTAATTGATACCAGAAATATTGTATCGATTCCTGTAAAAGGATAAGCATCTGCCACAGAAATCAAGCACCAGTTTCATCCAGTAAGGATAGTTAGAAGACCAAAACCAGTAATATTTTCCGGCAAATACTTGGTAGAGTCATGTGGGGAGGTCTTACTGGTTTGTTTCTCTTCTAGAGACACAGAGGTGGCTCGTACCTTTGAGGTATTTACACTGGATATCGAACAGATGGCCTGGGTGCAGATGGAGAGCTTGGGAGATCGGATCCTTTTTACATGTCGTTCTGGTTGCAGTTGCTTTTCCTCCAAGGAGTTAATGGGAGATGGTCTTAATGCCATTGTCGGCAGCATCTGTTTCACCCAATACATCGACGCTCCTTGCCGTAGTAATATTGAGTGGAGCACAGGGAGACTTGGAGGACCCTCTAGCTTTGATGATTTGAGTATTTTGAGATTGGATGTTAAAAGTACTTTTAACCATTCATCTGTTTGGCTCACTGCACCTATTTGGTGGTACCTTAAGAATAACTGATCTAGATATCATTATGCATTTATCTAGCTAAGAATAACTTATTAATTTGCAGATGATCTTCTTTGTATTTGGCTCATGGCCCTCATTTTCAACCACTTCTGATATTTGGCTCACAACGAGCCCTAGTTTGTTTCTTTTGAGTTCAATGGTGGATGTCCAATATGATTAGTTCGGTTAACCGGTCATGAGCCTATTTTTCCAAACCGGTTCGGTTCGGTTACCATTAATTTTTATATTGGTTAATTAAAAACGAATTAATACCTTTGAATTTTCAAAAATAACAAACTAACCGATTCAGTTAACCAGAATTTTTTGTTTAATTTCATCAGTTCAATTCAGTTTTTCGATATTTTGGTTTTTGATGAGCTCCCCTACAATTAATACGCACACCTTGTATTCTTGTAATATAGCTCAAGAAATATTATTTTTTGTTAACCAACTGTCAACGGGCCAAGGACTGGTTGGGTGCGCGGATTGGGTCAATCTTTTTCCAACCCAAAGATGTCAATGGGCCGAGGCATCATCAACCCAATTCGACCAAATGATGAGAAATATCAAATCCGACCCATGCCATATATAATAAACCTATACTTGTTAATTCCTTGAGGAAAAGCAACTGACCCATGCCATATACAATTTGGGTCGGTCAGCCTTAATTGGGTTTTGGGTTGAGTTTTGGATGGAATTGAGCTGAACTTGAGCCCAAATTGGTTAAAATTCTTCAAATTGTAGAATCAGACAAAATAAGTAAAATAGGCTTAATTTGGAAAGAGTATAAATACAAATTTGTAGAGAGCAAAACTTTATACATATTTTTATTTATATTCCTTCCAAACTAAGTCATAAAGTCAAATATAAAGCTAAAGTAAATATTACACTCAGCTTTCTTACACTCATGTATTTATACTAAATGAATTCTTCTTTTCTTGGTATAAAGGAAGAAATATCACAAAAACCTAAAACTATCAGAAAAGCCAAAATATTCCAGAGTCCAATTAGAGGAAATGAATCCTGAGTCTGAACTGTGATCTTCATCCGCAAGCCAATCTGCCATCTGGTTTCTTTCTCTATGCACACGAGTGCATGTGATGACTAGATTCTTCTCCCGTTCGATCTTGGTGCACTCTTCAAGCATTGAAATGCACCTCCAGTAAACTTAAGTTGAACCTCAACGCCCGCCCTCATTTTGGCTACCGTTATGCTTGTGATACCAATGGATCTCTTGACCCACTTAAGGATTTCAGCTTTGTGATTTCTTGCTATGCATCCATAAACACAATTCCCATCATATTTTTTTGAGGCATCAAAGTTTACACAAGCATAACGGATAAGGTTTAGCCGCCCTTCCACCCCCCTCAACGGGGTAGGTTTTTTTACTTGAAGGATGGGTTTTGGGACTCTACAATCCATACAGGTATGGATACAGTACAGTATTAGGCTAATACCAATCCGTATAGTATTGGAAAGCATATAAACTTTATTTACTAGGTATAATTTAATAATGTTTTGGATTTTATGTCAAAGATAATTGATAGTTTATGTTTTTTACATGTCTTGATCAAATAATTGGAAACTTACTGTTTATTTATATTATTTTACTTATTTATTGCTTATATATGATAAGAAATTAGTAATAGGATATTAGATGTATGTTCTAAACTCAACCTGCCTTTACCCTTGAATGTGGGGAGGGGGATTAGGGAGGGTTTCAAATTTTCATGTAAAGGAAGGGTTTGGATTCTCAAAATCCAACCCACTATAGATTTTGGGTGGGTACAGGTTAGAAGGTTTAGGGAGGCAGATAGGACCTAAAATTTACAAAAGCCTCCCTGAACCTAACCCATTGCCATCCCTAATAAGAGATGAGATTCTTGATTTCAAATTAAAGAAATGGAAAATGTAATTCTGACTATGCTCTACAACCTAACAATCTCTCACCAATTCCCAAGTCCAAGTGGTCAAGATGATGAAATCCGTTGATTCACTGATTCCCTCTAAGCAGGAGGTGTGGGATCAAACCCATGAATCCTGGACTCTTTGTGATGTGATCAGTTGGGCCTTGCACTCAACACTGACCCTAACCCCTGATTCCCCCTATGCTTTAAAAATTGACAAAAGCAGAATCAGTTTTGCCTCCGAGTTTTGGGCCAGTTTTGCCCCTCATTCAGTTAACCGGTTGCCGGTTTAGTTAACCATCAATTCGATTTGTCAGTTTTTTTGTTCTTTATATTTACAATATATTATAAAATATATAAATATAATAAAAAACTAAAAATATATATAATGCTATATTTTAAATAATAAATAATATATTATATATTATAAATATATATTTATATAGTGCATATTTATTAATTTGTAATATATAAAATATATATGTATATATAATATACATAAATATACATAAAATATATTGATGTAGCACGATCCGGTCACTCCTAACTGGCAGGGGCCTCACTCCTATCTGGCAACGGACAACACCTGAGAAGGAAAAGAAGACGAAGGATTCCCAGGAAGCTCGCCCGGCAGGAACACTCCGATGCTTAAGTTAGAATTCGGTAGAGAGCTTAGAGAGTAGTAATCAGCTAAGAGTGGAGATGCGCACTTACTTCTGTCTTGGGGGTCGAGACCCTTATATATTAATGCTTTGCCAAATCGGGTGTAACCGCCTCTGATTCTATGCTACAGTCGTTATTTGCCAGGGTTGATACGACTGGCGCAGGTATCCGTCACAGGGTACGGTCCTGTCAGTTGAGGGACGTTTCTCAAAGTTGGCGTGTACGATGCCGCCTGATGAGAGACGTGGGCGCAGTACCCTGGACTGGCAGGTGCTATGCCGCCAGACGAGAGACATGGGAGCAGTTTGACGGACACGGTCTTATCGGATAAGAAGTTTCCTGAAAGCCCCGGGTTGCTCAATAGCGAGCTTTCTTATAGTGAGCTCCCTTGTAGCAAACTCCAATGTAGCGAGCTCTAATAGCGAGCTACCTTGCAACAAGTCGTGCTGTAGCGAGCAGTAGCGAGTTGTTTTGCTAGGGTTTGAGCTCATTATGCCGAGTTTTGGCCAAGCTGCCATGCTGAGCTGTCGCTTTCTCTGAGTGACAGTTTTGGCCATGCTGAGTTTTGGCCATGCCAAGCTGCCAAGCTGCCATGCTGAGTTTTGGCCAAGTCACCCCCCACCAATTGCCCTCTACTCCTCGTGCTAAGGGTCTTGCTCTAGCGCAAGGACTTCATGAAGTGACGGGTGGATTTAACCCTTAATTCAAACTAGGTTGATTGATTGCATGAAGGGTATGTGCGGATGTCAGGCAATTTCTAGATTTTTTGGGCGCCAAAAAATGCGCCAAACTGCCTTCAATTTTGGAAGACGTGCGGTCGGCGTTACTCTAGTCTCGGAAGGCGTGCAACCAGTCATATTTCAGTCTCAGGAGACGTGCAGTCAGTTTGATTGTGAGCCGTCGGATCCACCTTGATCAGAGCCATCGGTTTTTGGGCACAGTAGCTATAAATAGGAGGGCCCCATGCCTCATTTTTTTACACCAACGCCTTGCCTTTGTTTTCGAGGTCGCACCTTCGCTTTGTTTGCTCGAGCTCTCTTCCGTTCGCACTGCCTTTCCGGTTCACTTTTCTTCTGGTGAGTCCTCTGTTCTGTCAGCATTGTTTGGGTACCCACATGATGGTGTCTTTCCCCGAGACGGTAACCAAGATGAAGTCCCCTCAAACTCAGGGGGAGCTTGGGGGCTCCCTGAGGGTCAGTCTATGGAGGCTCGAGAAGCCTCTGGAAATTTGGCTTCTACTTCCCAAGGGGCGGGAACCGGACAACTTCGGCCCTTCCTCCATGTCGATGGAGAAGCTTCGGGCCCTAGTCTCTTACTTCAACCTCCCCAGGGATCTTATCTACAACCTTCCCTCCGGCAACTATCCCTGGGAGCACGATCACAATGAAATCGTGATCTTTGAGGAGCAGCTCGTGGCTGGTCTCCGGCTCCCTCTTCATCCTCTGATAGTGGAGATTCTTTCCCACTTTAATGTCACCATAGACCAGCTTCACCTGAACTCAATCCGAAACGTGGTTGGGACAATTTCTTTGTGTTTTCAGTATTGTTTTCCCCTTTCTCTGGATATTTTTGCTTCCATTTTGTCTATCAAGAACACCTCCCCCGGAGCTCCTCCAGACAAGTGCTCTTACTACTTCTCCCCCCGCCCAGGCTTTAAGCTCCTTCATGAGCTACCTAACAAGATCCCAGCCTGGAAGCGGGGCTATTTCGTAGTTCGCAACCCCGAGGGTTGGCCCTTTCTGACCCACTAGAGGGGGGCCATTCAGGATCCGGGCGTTACTTTGGACTAGAAGGTTCGGGAAACACTGAAGTCCTGGGCGGAGGTCGGCTTCCTCTGCTCGGACTACGTGGCCGAGGATAAGCTCGCGCATGCCGGTCTGAGCCCCGGTAGGTTACCTTTAGTTTGTCTTTTTTTTTTTTTGCAAGCTGGACTAACACTTTACGATTTTTGCAGCC